TCCATCACCATCTGGAATGACAATATTAAACACAACCACAGTGCAACTGACCCCGTTGGTGCTTTCAAACGACTGAGATTGTTTCATTTAGAATGGAGGTTACTTACTTTAATAACTTGCGCTTAATCATTACACATCTGATCTGACTAGTCTGCCTGTAATTAACTTTGAGAGGAATATTTTGAAAGCCTATTAGATGTATCTGTGTGTGTGTGTGTTTGTGTGTGTTGACGGAGCAGTGACGTCTCTGCAAGATGACTCACACGCCACGTCCCCACTGACGGTACCTCTTCTTCCTGACATAAACACACACACACACACACACACACACACACACACACACACACACACACACACACACACACACACACACACACCAGTGCCATTTGTCACCCTGCTTCAGATCTCCATCCTCTGGCTCGTGTTGCTGCCTCCACTGCAGCAGCACCACACCGTACACAAATAGGTTCATTTCCTCGGATAATCACCACATTACATGATACATGATTACATATTATCCCATGTGCTCCAATTCCACTGGGAAAATGCTACGAATAAAAAGCCATGGACACATGAATGAAACAGGAGAGTTGAGGCTGGTTAATGCTTGAATCAAACTACACCTACAACATGTCGTGTGAGTTTCTAAAGCTGTTATTGACGTGTAAAGGAGTGTGACGCAATAACTACTAATAAATGTAGAAGATATCTTCAAACTTTAGACCTATACATGAACAGTTTTTAAAATATTTTTGAAAGCAACTTTTTTTTAAAAGCTAAAAAAGGGTCTATGCACACATCTATATGCTAGAATCTGCACGGTAACACAACACAATCGCAAGACAGAGCTAACATTCTGCTGCTAACTAGTAGCACTAAACACGTAGGCTACAGCTGATAGAAATGTCATAAACCCAAATGATTGGGCTTGATGACGGGGCTGGAACAAAGTGCAATTCCACCCAATGTGTGCAGGCCCAGACTTCCATCCAGTAAGCAGGAGAAATTGTTTCACTGAAAGCCATGAACGTCGTCATCGTGTGGTGCGACGAAACGATGGGTAGAGTGAGGTGGAAGAGGGCCAGCTGGTAAACACAGATGTAAACAATAATGCAATAACAATCCTTCAAAATACGTTCAGTAATATGTTAATACAAACCTACAAGAAATGTTTGGGTTTGTGGACAGAGCCGCTACAGCTGGTTTGCTGGCTTGGGTTCGGGTCGCCGTAGTCAGTTTGGACTTCTCTGATTGATGTCCTGTTTGCTATTATTTGTTGCCTTATGTAGCGCTGTTTTGATATTTAACTGAGGTAGATTGACAATATCGAAGGTTTGAATTACATAAAAATCCTGCATGTCTAAAACACACGGACAGCAATCAACAAAAGCAATGTCAAATTAAAACAACCCCACATACACAGATGCAACTTGTGTATGTGAGCGTGGTGGTTTTGTAATGCAAAATCAACTTCACTCCACCAGTAAAGTAAATACACTATCCACCTTAAATTCAATAAAATCAGTTGAGGAGATTTACTGTTCCACTAGACACCCCCTGACCACACAAAGAAGAACTAGATATAACTGAGAGAGATAAGTCAGCGGGGGGGGGGGGGGGTAAACATCCAGGGAGATTAGATGCACAGTTCAAACACTGGTCTTAGTGGAAAAATAATGTTGATGACAGCCAAAAACACCCCATAGTAGTTTTCGGCATTTAAAACAAAGTAGTATTCAGATCATATTGAATGTGCTTATTTCTTTTACGCTTCGGGTCAACACATGAAGCCTCAAACTACTGTGCCAGTGGCCTTGGCAAAGGAGAGAGGCAGGAGAGCCTAAGCCTGATTTTATCTGGGGCGTGCTGCAGCTGTCGCTGCTTGCCGGTCGCCAGTGGAGCTCGAGGTCTGGGTGAAAAAGAAAGAGCTACAGTCAAACTTGTTTGGGTCACATGACCGTGCAACAAGTTGCTGCTGGAATCCGTGCTCGATGACGCAGAGTTACTCCAAACATGGTAAAGTTGCACTGAGAAGGAAACGGCAACAGTCTCAGTCTTTTTGCGTTTTACACAGTTCTCAAAGGTCAGATTATTCATCTTACAGAGGCGGTGTGTGAGTCACACTACCACCAGCACAGGGAGGAGCTCCACCTCACAGATCTTATGTGGGGACAACATGCTTACGTGTCTAGACGTAAGGGGGCAGGGCCGGTGCACATAGGTGACAGACTCCAGTACTACTCTGCGTCCAGTGAGTCACTACCTGTCTGCTGGCGAGTGCCGCATGTAATGAATGACGTTGCCCTCCCGCTTTGTAAATCTCCTCGCCTCCATGTCTTTCTCCGCTGACAAATGTCACTGTTGTCTTTTTTTAAATCAGGCGAGAATTAACTGTTGTTCTCATTAACACAATCTTAGATGTCTCTTTCCCAAAGTAGTGTAGGCTCATGGGGAAAAGTGTTTTTGAGCCCCAATGCACCAGTAGAAGGCTTAAGTCATTGACACTGTACATCTGGACTCGGATTAAACTATTAATTCAACTATGACACATCCCAGTTTTCTAATTAACTCCAGTTCAACAATGTGCCAATGGGCTAATTCTCATTCGTGCCAAGATTTAAAGTACACCAACACCTTTGCTTCCAGCAGCGAGATTTAAGCCTCCGTTTGTTGACAGCCGGCCAAAGGCAACCTCACAGCACGCCGCTCCTACTCTTTAAAGTTGTTTTGTGGGGTTTCCCATATGGCTAAAAACTAATTATTCCCCCAATTAAAGCCCCTGCCATGGACCCTTAATGTTGTTGACTTTGGGGTTTGTGCGGAGCTGACAGACATGGAGGCTTCAGAGGGGGTTCATGTTGGACCAACAGACGTCGGCCACCACTGATCTCTGTACATCCGTGTGACATTCGTTATGGTTCCTCTTCACTTTGAAATGCTTCAATTTCGCAGGAAAACACGTCAGAGATTCTCACTGTGGATTGAGGACCGACCAGCTTGTCCGTTGTGATCAATCAGGTAAAAGCTCTCAGACCTTTAAGGGGGTTTCATTGTTTTTGTATTCACATTTTCAAGGAGATACTGGTCTACAACACAGACAGCTTTGCACACTGTACTGATAAATACCTGTGAAGTACTGTTTGCAACAGGCGACTGACATGAGTTCAATCAATGCCTCTGCTAGAAAACACAGAGAGGCTGGACATTTACCACATCGTGTGTGGTTTTATAGCACAGACGTGCCATGGCCGTCTAATTTACCCTGAAACATGATGTATTTTCATGCTTTAATTACTTATTTTTCTGAGCTCAGTTGCTCAAATGATTGTTTTACTAAATATGTTTTATATTAACTTCAACAAGCACGTCTGTCCACATGCCATGATTGAGAAGGTAGAAGCTGGGGACGTTATGTGAAAAACACTCTTTCTGTCCATGACTGAAATGATTGATAACGGTCTCAGGTCTCAGGAGTGGAGACGGGTGGAAAGACCCAGAATAACTTTCTTAAAAGGTACAAATTCTGCTAGGGTCCCCGCTATTGAATATATATTTTAAATCAAGCTGCAAAGCTTTTTTTATTGGGAATTATGAACCGGACTAACTTTTTGACACGGCCATTGAGCCTCTACTGATCAAAGCGGAAAAATTGTTTTCCAGTTAAAAATAATGAGTGACGTTTGAGGAGTTCAAGCTCTGACTGTCTACCTTCTGGCCCGGCTGAATTTGACTCCACGGCACACAACCCTAATCAGCTGCTTCAAAACAATCATTAACTAACCTCCCGTTGCCTCCTTCTTTTTCTCTGCCTCCTTCTCTAACAGACAACAGAGGGCGAGAGTCTAGACAACACCTAGAGACTCCTCTCTCTCTTTCTCTCTCTCTCACCCCACGTCCAATCATCCCCTTCGCAGAGCTGCTTATTACAAGCAGGACCTCACACACAGCACAGACACTGAAAAAATGCTTTTGCAACACAATTTCCAGCACATTTACACAATATATTCAGTCAACAATGTTCAGATGGAATGTGTTTTACTTTCAGTGAAAAAAATGGGACCAAAGTATTAATTTTGCGCTGAATCCTGCACCGTTTCAAGGCTTTTACGGCCACATGACAAATGTGAGTGCATGTTTGTTTTCATGCACTACTCCTCAGTACGGCTACTCTGTTAATGGTACAGCATGTCCTACATGCAGCTGAATGAACAATTTCATATAACTGCTCTGCAAATGTCCTCGGAAAAGTCCTCGAAGCAGATTCTTTATTTATTTATTTTTGGCCCTGGAGCAGCTGGTTTGCTGGAGCTATATTTACAACGGTTTGTGCAGTGCACTAACGAGAGCACACACTTTTAGATTTAATCTGGTGAACGCTGGCGTAGAGTTGACATAATTGCTTTCAGAAGTAAATTATTGGCAAAATTTTAGCTGTTTACAAAAGAGTCTTTTAACAGCCATAACCACACACAAGTAATTTGCCCCAACATTATAAACCAGCGAACCAATCAAATCTAATTTAACACATTTGCTTTCTTCAATCCTTTGATGTCAGAGTACAGAATCAAATCAAATCACTGTTGTACATTAAAGTCTCCTTCTCACATGTTACGCTTATCTAAAGTAACCATTAAAACTGTAAACAATGGGTTTTCTTCAGTTACACACCAATCTCCTCTGCGTTTATACAGGCTCTTTAATGGCCTAAAGGGTTATAAACCTGAGCCATTGGCCGTTATATAAGTAGTGTCCTCCCATAGCTTGTGAGGTTACAATCAAGCCATTCATAGGCTGCTTGTGAATGGTGTTTGGAGGAAGCCATCTGCTCCTGTTTATGGTTCATTAATCCCGCTACCCCCGGACTACCAGGCTGCTCCCACAGCAACAGGTACAAGAAGCCAACTGGAATAAAAACACAAAAGAACTGACTTGTTTCTGCTTCAACATACTCCTTAATTCAATACTTGACTACTAAAGAGTATTAACCAGAGGATCCTTACCGTCCCAGTAGTCCATAGGCATACAAAGAATCCGCCAGGAGTAATGTGATCTCACCCTTTTGCATGGACATGACACACTCCTCCAGGGCCTACAGGTGTCAAAGCACAACATGCTACTTAGAGGAATGACTTTTAACACACTTGCACTAAATACGTTGAAGCATAACTCTGTTTTATGCAATTATTTAATCGTTCATGCATGTGGACCAGCTCAATAACCATGATCTCCAGGGGCGACAGCGTAGGTCAGTTTGTTAATACTGAAATACTTCAATAACTATTAGTAACATAATGAAACGTGGTTCCCACACGATGAAACTAATTGATTTTGGTTGATCCTCTGACTCTTCAGCTAGCACCACCATGACAAAACTGACAACAGTCCCAACAGCCTTAGCTGTACTTCATGTTTTGTACTAGTTAGTAACTGCTAGCATGCTAAATTAACATGGTAAACATTGGACCTGCTTCAGGAATCAGGAATCAGGAATCAGGAAACATTTATTTACCAAAATATGCCAAACATACAAGGAATTTGTCTTGGCGGTTAGTGCGCGACAGTAGACAGACAAGACAGCAGTGCACAAGTAATAAAATAAAGTGGAATGAAATGCTAATGCAATGGGTTAGAAGAATAAGGCTATGGGTTAGTATAAAACAAGGGAATAAAGTTAAAAATTTTAAATATTAAAAAAGTTAAAAAGAAAAATATTAAGCATAAAGTGCACTAACAAACTAGTAACAAACAAGTAACAAAGTGACGAGTGACGACAAAGTGATGAATTACAGTTAAAGTGGCATGTGCAGTGTGGAGGGGAGTGACCGGTGGGATGTTATAGTCAGTCAGTGGGGGACCGGCTCTGTTGATGAGCCCGACTGCCGACGGGAAGAAACTGTTGGTGTGGCGGGAGGTCTTAGTGCTGATGGACCTCAGCCTCCTGCCAGATGGAAGGGGCACAAACAGTTTTTGTCCGGGGTGAGAGGGGTCGGCCACGATCTTTTTAGCACGCTTCAGAGACCTGGAAGCGAACAAGTCCTGCAGGGACGGCAGATTGCAGCCGATCACCCTCTCTGCAAAGCGGATGACACGCTGCAGCCTGCCCTTGTCCTTGGCTGTGGCTGCAGCGTACCAGACGTGATGGAGGAGCAGAGGATGGACTCGATGATGGCCGTGTAGAAGTGGATCATCATCGTCTTTGGCAGGTTGAATTTCTTCAGCTCCCTCAGGAAGAACCACCTCTGCTGAGCCTTCTTGGTGATGGAGCTGATGTTCAGCTCCCACCTGAGGTCCTGGGTGATGATGGAGCCCAGGAAACGGAAGGAATCCACAATAGTGACGGGGGAGTCACACAGGGTGATGGAGGAGGGTGGAGCTCTGTTTCGCTGGAAATCCACAACCATCTCCACTGTCTTTAAAGCGTTGAGCTCCAGGTTGTTCTGACTGCACCACGACACCAGATGGTCGGACTCTGTAGGCGAACTGCAGGGGGTCCAGGAGGGGGTCGGTGAGGGACTTCAGGTGGGTCAGGACTAGCCGTTCAAAAGACTTCATGACTACAGAGGTCAGGGCGACGGGCCTGTAGTCATTAAGTCCTGTGATCCTGGGCTTCTTGGGAACAGGGATGATGGTGGAGGCCTTGAAGCAGGCTGGTACGTGGCATGTCTCCAGGGAGGTGTTGAAGATGTCAGTGAACACCGGAGACAGCTGGTTAGCACAATGCTTCAGGGTGTGAGGGGAGACGGAGTCCGGACCGGCTGCCTTACGGGGATTTTGTCTTCTAAAGAGCCGGTTAACGTCTCTCTCCAGAATAGAGAGGGTCGTTGCTGGTGGGGGAGGGGAAGGTGATATAGATGAAGAGGCGTGAGCACCTGATGGGCTGGGGGAGGGAGGGGAGGGGGACTGCAGCAGCTTGGTGGAGCTGTGGGGGATGGGATCAGGACTTGCCATCAGCCTTATCAACGCACAGTGCTGATATGTGGTATTTGGCTCAAATCACCGTTGAAGACAACCTCCATGCGACCCACTAAAATACCCTGCAAGAAAACTGAGAAGTTTACCTGGTTAACATCTCCTTCTCCGATAACAAGGGCGAGCCTACAGTCCTTCTCCACCACGGTGCGGTCCTCCAGGACACACTGCATCTCCACGGTAACCGATTGGCCCCAGGTGGGGCTGAGCGTGTCCGGGGCCCCGAACTCCACTACCTTCTTCCTCAACAGACGATCCTCTGTGTGAGGGGAGAAGAGAAGGTCATGCTGGAGGAAGCGGAGTTAATCTGCATGTTGGTGGTAAACACATGCTCACAAATTCGCCATGCTTGAATTCGTTGCCATTTTAGGTCAATTTATTTCTTTAGTGCAAACTGAAATATAACGTTTAGCTTTAACTAGAAAATGCATTTCCTGCTGAAAATGCGTTGGAGTGGAAAAAGCTAAATGCTGAAATGAACTTGAGAAAATTGCTGAATTTACAGAAAGTTGAAGGGAATTTTAATACATTTGCTAAAATTACAGATATTGGAAAAGCTGAAATTAAATTGAAATTGCTGAAAATACAGAAATGGGAGAAGCTGAAAGGATTTAATAGATTTGCTGAAAAAGCAGAAATGAAAATAGCTGAAATGAATGTGAAATGTTGCAAAACAAATACAGAAATCAATATTAAAACATTGCTGTTAATACAGGCATAATAAAAGCTGAAATTATTTTAAAGAACTGCTGAAAATACAGGAAGTGGGAAAGCTGAATTTTAATAGATTTTCTAAAAAATACAGAAGTTGCAGGAGCTTAAAGGAATTTAAAAAAATACAGAAATAACAAAAAAGGAGATAAATAAAAAGAGGTGTTACATTATTTGTAGTAATATTAGTAGTAGTATTAGTTATAGTTGTGGTAGTAGTAGTACTAGAAGTAGAAGTCGGTTTAGTATCAATAGCAGTAGAAACAGCTGGAATACTGATACTATTAGCCATAGTATTTGTAATAACATTAGTAGCAGTTGTAGTATTAATAGCAGTAGAAATACTAGTAGTATGGTAGTAGAAGTATCAGTTGTAGTACTAGAAGTACTAGTAATATTCGTAGTGGTTGTAGTAGTATTTGGGTGGTGAGGAAGAGAGAGTGAAGGAGAGGGAGGGGAATTAGACAGACTGACTGACTGAGTGATTAACAGTGAGAAGAGGTCAGGGTGGAGGGGGGGCGAGTGTCATTATCATATTGGTCTGTTGAAAGAAAGCATAGCTGCGTCATGTGACTCCACTAATGAGGTAATAGGAGCTTAAATGAATTTAAAAAAGTACAGAAATAACAAACCTAAAATGAATAAAAAGAGGTTTTAAATTGTTTTTAGTAATATTAGTAGTAGAATTGGTTACAGTTTTAATTGTGGTATTCGTAGTTCTAGCAGTAGAAGAAGTAATAGTAGGTTTAGTATCAATAGCAGTAGAAACAGCTGTAATACTAACACTATTAGCCATAGTAGTATTTGTAATAACATTAGTAGTAGTTGTAGTATTAATAGCAGTAGAAATACTAGTAGTATGGTAGAAGTATCAGTTATAGTACTACTACTAGAAGTACTAGTAATATTCGCAGTGGTTGTAGTAGTAATTGAAAAAGAAACGCGTATTTCAACGAAACCACTTCATTCTGAGCTTCATGGTTAAGGTACAGATAATCATTGAGGCTTTTATCTTGATATGATGGAATTGGGTGAGGGGGGGTTGGGAGACAGAATGTTTTTAATTAATAGGCCTAATCACAAACATTACAGTAAAAATTCCCTCCATGGGGCTTTTATTTTGTAATTATTGGATTGGGTGGGGTGGGGGGGGTGTAGATTGAGGGAGAGAGGGTGAGGAAGGGAGGGGTGGTGAGGAAGAGATAGAGGGAGAGAGAGAGGAGGAGAAATAGACAGACAGACTGAGTGAGTGATTAACAGTGAGTAGAGGTCAGGGTGGAGGGGGGAGGGGGGGCTAGTGTCTTTATCATATTGGTCTGTTGACAGAAAGCATAGCTGCGTCATGTGACTCCACTAATCAGGTCATAGGAGCAGCTGTGAGTCACAGACAGAGATACTGCAGCGTGTGTGTGAGTTTCCACGGCAACGGCGCACCTATTGGATTGGGAGGGGTGGGGGGGGGGGGTGTAGATAGAGGGAGGGAGGGTGAGGAAGGGAGGGGTGGTGAGGAAGAGATTGAGAGGGAGAGGAGAGGAGAAATAGACAGACAGACTGACTGAGTGAGTGATTAACAGTGAGAAGAGGTCATGGTGGAGGGGGGAGAGGGGGCGAGCATAGACATAAAATACATAGATGCCGCATTGGCCGCTACCGCCTATTGGCACTGACGAGAAATGCAGCCGCCATCTTGGAATGGTCCTCCGCTCCACTCAGTGTAATCTGTTTGCAGGTGCAATCAGCTGTGAGCGCATTCAATTAATCATACCTCACTGAATACCCAACTGATTTTCACGTGGGTTGTTTTGGCTGCAAAGGTCATACATGCAGCTATGACACAGGCCACATAGTTCGGCGTATTTTAATATTCATTGTGGACTTAACAGTAATGTTATATTCTGATATATGATGTGATATAGACTATGATAGGTATTTTGCAAATCACACACTATAATTTTGATAGAGAAGCAGAAACAGATAGTAGTAGTAAAGTCAGACATTTAATACGTTAAAAAACAATATAGAATTAGAAATAAAATGAATTGAACGTTTGCAAGCACACACACATGCACACAAATAACTTCAACAGAACGCCGGGTGTTTGCACCAAAGAGGGTCTAACTAACTAACTAACTATCACATACACACACACACACAAACCCCTGGAATAGGACGGTCTTGCAGAGCTTCTTTCTCGTGCTCCCTTTTTGCAGTTCCAGAGTGGTGAGTTTGGCAATGTGGTGCAGCCTTAGCTTGAGAAACACAGACACAACCAATGACAACAAGTCTGAATGATGGTTGTCAATGCCAAACTGTGTCTCTTCAATGTGTTCCCCAAGCAAAAAAACATCATCCGTTCCAATCTCCTCTCAGACGATGTGTGTGACTGTCGACACCTCAGGAGCTTGTGTTATTGACGCTCGGCGGATCACCCTCTCTGCAGCTCTCAGCACCTTATAATAATAATAAAAAAATAATACATATTTATATGCACTTTACACAGTGCTCAAAGACCCTTTACATAACAGACAAAACAAAGCATCCGTAATATACAAAGATTAAAATATTTTTAAAAAATAAGATAAATCAAACCTTTACTATGCCTTGTGATGTAATTACTAGGCCGCCATGGTTTTTCAGGGCTAGAAGGTGGTAGCTCTCGTCAAATGAAGCTGGTACAGCATCTCTGACCAAGCTCGCACGGCACACCTCACAGGACAGCTTTCGAAAAATCTGCCGGACTACAAACCCTGCTATGTAGACCAGAGCATTTTCCACCAGACCACCAAACCGAGTGGGGAGATAACTGTGGTCACACACGAGGGCTGAAATGTTGGCGAATGGGGATGGGTGTTCTTCAGCAGTGTTTCAGCAGAGGACATCTCCACAGCAGACAGGGACACAGTGTCGTCTTGGGCTGCCACATTGCCTGTCTCACCAGGTGAAACACCACACCGAACCATCAGACAGCGGAAGATTGCCTGGAACTGACGTGTCGTTGGATTGTTATTCCAGCCCCCTTACGAAAAACAGACACACAATACATACATTACTCACAAAACATAACACATTTATTTTGTATGTATTGTAATCAAAAGTGCACCAACCCTACCTGATGCTCTGATTGAATTAGATAGGAGCTCCAAGTGATCCTGGCTGAACATGTAGGTGAGCACATACTGCTGAACTTGGAGCAGTTCAGGAATCATCAGCATCAACGTGTCGAGATTTGTGACAAATCCGATGACTGACAAGTACCTGCAAAAGAAAGATGTTTTATTGCTCTGATCATGGCGAAACAAGACACCCTAGGAAAGCACCATGTGATGTTGTTAATTCAAAGCAGTAAAGTGACTTAACACCATCTCGGAGTCGGACAATCTGACCCGTCTTATCAAAATCACTCTGCTTAAAGTGTTCACAGCAACGCGCTGCTGAATCACTTGCTGTAAATCCATCTCTCCTCAAAGCCACTTCTTTCTCGCATGTTTGTCCTTTGGAAATCTTCAAAATGAAAATGGAAAATTTGGGAGAGTCTACACAAAAACATTTCACAAAGAAGTTCAAGGTTATTTTCTTTCTTCACATTTCTTATAACCTTTCTTAAACGAAACTCCTATGTTGATGAATATTGTTGATGATGAACCAAAGTTGCTGAAATTGTAAATAAGCTTGTTTGCAAACCATTCTAAGGTCAGATGTTCTGTTGCCTTTATTGTAAGTAAGTGGGATATGAGATACGAGAGGTATCTTACTTTTGTTGAATTACATGTGAATAATACACTGTGTTGGGCAAGTTGCTTTCACATTGAACTCAGCTAAGCTATCTGTTACTCTGCCATGAATAAAGCTTCACTACACAAAAGCTACTACACAGTGAAATGCAGCAAGCTAAGTATCACAAACACAGCAGTAGGCTAGTTCACTACATAGCAAGCTACTTTAAGATGCGTTAATTCCACATGACAAGAAAGTTGTGTGGCCAATGTTATACCAGTAATAGGTTATATTTCTACAATAACATTATTGTGTCCGTTTGAATCTAAGTGTTATGGAATATGACTTATCAAGTCTCAGTTCATAATCAGGTGAAAAACAGCCGGGGAAGTAAACATAGCCAACCTAGCTGACTGCGATACAGTACACTACACACTACACTACACTTTCTCCTTCTCTACTCTCTGGTAATATTCTTTTCACAAAACACAACAAATAGGACGGTAATATTAAGTCTTACTTGTGAAAGATTATCCCCCCCAGCCCTGCTGGCGATGGTCTGCCGATTAGCGCAGAAATAAGCAGCACAGTGCTGTGGCATCCTGTATCTTCTGCTGCTACGCAACTACGAGTACGACCGCTCCAAGATGGCGGCCGTATTTCTCGCGAACAGAAGCCAATGCGGCGTCTATGTATATTATGTCTATGGGGGCGAGTGTCTTTATCATATTGGTCTGTTGACAGAAAGCATAGCTGCGTCATGTGACTCCACTAATCAGGTCATAGGAGCAGCTGCAGAGATCCTGCAGCGTGTGAGCGAGTAACCACGATAACGACGCACCTGTGCTCATTAACGAGCTGCTGCAAAGGGCAGAGACATGGCAGCGAGGTACCCTTTGCAGCAGATGCTCCGTTACCGTGGATACCAGCACACACGCTGCTGTTTGTCAGTTGGTCAGTTTGTGTCACACAGCAGATCTATAATTGTTGATTAGTGGAGTCACATGACGCAGATATGCCCCACTCTCTCCCTTCCTCCTCCTCTCTTTTCTGTTCCTCCCCTCTTTCTTCCTCCTTCTCTTTCTTTCTCCTCCACTCTTTCCATTCTTCCCCGTCTCCCCTCACTATTACACCCTTCCTCCTCCTCCTTTCCCCTCTTTCTTTCTCCCCTTTCTCCCTTTCTCCTCTTTTTCCATTCCTCCCCTCTTACTTCTACCTTCCCCAATGCCAACATTTTAAAATACAACCCCCATGGAGGGAATTTTACTGTAGTGTTTGTGATGAGGTCTATCAATTAATAGTTTGAAGGACAAACATTCTGCCCCCCCCCCCCCACACCCAACAACTACTAATATCACTAGTACAACTAGTAGTGCTACTTCAACTAATACTGCTACTACCATTACTAATACTACTACTACTAGGATTTCAACTGGTATTACTACTAAATGACTCTTACTACTACTACTACTAATAGTAGTTGTACTAAAAATACTATTTCTACCAGTAGCAGTGACCCAGCAACTGATATTACTACTCTTACTACTATAAGAAAACATACTACCAGTATTTATACTGCTATTAATACCACAACTACTACTCATTTTACTACAAATACTACAATGACTTTGACAGTTTAGTACTACAGATGATAAAACTAGTAGTACTACTAACACTATTATTTCTAGTTTTTCTACTGCTATTGATACTAAAACTACTACTTATTCTAATGCTAATATTATTACTGCCAAAATTACAATTACTACTAATATTACTACAAAAAATAAATGTTTTAAGACTCAACTCAGCTTTTGTCATTTCTGAATTTTCAGCAATATTTAAATTTATGAATTTCTTTAATATTTTTTGTTCCAATCTTTTTTTAGTCCATTTCAGATTCTTCCATTTCTGTATTTCCACCGCTTTTCTGATGTCTGTATTTTCATCAATATTTTGATATTCTTTCTTCTATAGTTGTTTCATTTCTTTATTTTCAGCAAATCTATTGAAATTCCTTTCCGCTTCCCCCATTTCTATATTTTCAGCAATTTCAAATTAATTTAAACTTTTCTAATATCTGTAATTTCAGCAAATGTATTAAAATTCCCTTCAACTTTCTGTATTTTCAGTAATTTTCTGAAGTTCATTTCAGCTTTCAGCTTTTTGCATTCCAACGCATTTTCAGCAGGAAATGCTTTTTCTAGTTACAAACCAGATTATCCACTGAAACTGAGTCTAAGGTGTGTCTCTACAGAATGATGCCTCCTCACCTGTGATGTCTTGCCAATCGTCTGCCGCAAACAGGTCTTCAAAGGAAGAGGAAGTCCACTCAGCAGTCACACACTCTGGGAAGAGACTCTCCGCCGAGCTGTCTCTCTCCAGGACATCATCCTCTGTTGATGGTTCTTGAAATCTCACCATCTTCCAGCTGTTTGTTTTTTTCAGTTTCCTCTGCTGCTTGCATCCCGTGTCTTCACTTTTCTCGGGACCAGCGGGGGCTTTCGCCTCTGCGTTCTCACTCTCACCTGCACAGCTCTCTGTTTCAGCCGGCTCCTTGTTGACCTCTGCATGCCCACCAACGAGCTGGTACACCTCAGACACGGTATGCTCCACTGCAGGATCCTCGCGCTCTCCACTACATGGCTCGGTTTCCATTTCACTGCCGAGAGCGATGGACGCCACCTGCATTAGCCTCCAAAAGAGATGATCCTGATAGTCGGTGGCAATGTTCCACTCGGGGCCGCAGGTTGGTAGTAGTTTGGTCGTGAAACCAACTTTTGCCACCTTCAGCGTCTCAAAACAAAGAGAAGATCTCCCTGAGGTTAAAACCCATGTTGTGTTATATTAAATCCAACTGAGAAGACATCCCTAAATCCTGCCTTCGTATACAGCTTTTAGAAAAAGCTTTTCCCGCCGGGGGCTTTGTGATTTCTCTTGTTCTGTTTCGTCTTGGCCTCCTCTTGCTACCGCCTGTGCCAGTGATGCGGTGATGACCAACGCAGTCCCAGTCGGCAGGCTTGTGCATTGGTAATCTGCAGGATTAGAAGAGATAAACCTAATCTGCCAGAATGTCTGTAAGCTTCTTAATGACTTCACCGGCGTGCCCCACAACACAGCTTCCATGAACGCAGTTGACCAATAAAGATATGAAATGTAATGCAATTTGCTTTGAGAGATCTTTGTTTTTGCTTTTAAGTGAATGACACAATGCTAATTACCTAAAGGCTGTCAAATTTACAGTAGAGAACAGATTAAACAGTTTCTAAGGTTTAAAGCAGATAACCATCTCATGTTGTATAGTTAATTTGGACATTTCACAACTATGCTTAAAAACTGAAAACATGTCTTTGTTTTTAACCCATGGAGGTTAAATTCTTTGCTTTTGTCAGCTGTAACCAGAAACTATATTATACATTTTGGGGCTACGCTTTAATCTACAGCCAAAGCATGGTGTCAATCAGAGATTAAATTAATCCAAATTCCATATTTGGGTACTTTCATTGAACTGTTCTTGACTTATTCTCTTTTTTTGCTGTCTTTTAGTTTGCATGTCTTTAGATTGTGGACTGCTGTTTGAAGAATCAGGAATCAGGAAACATTTATTGAATTTGTCTTGGCGGTTGGTGCGCGACAGTAGACAATGTGACAATAGACAAGACAGCAGTGCACAAGTAATAAAATAAAGTAAAATGAAATGCTAATGCAATGGGTTAGTAAATAAGGCTACGGGTTAGTATAAAACAAGGGAATAAAGTCAAAAAATATATATATTTTTAAATATTAAAAAAGTTAAAAAAGAAATATTAAGCATAAAGTGCACTAACGAACAAGTAACAAAGTGACGAGTGACGACAAAGTGAAAAATGACAGTTAAAGTGACATGTGCAGTGTGAAGGGGAAAGGGGACATATTAATATGTTTTATTACATATAACATTTCGAATTTTGAATATGTTTCGAAATGTTGTGCTTTTTTTTAATACATATATTTAGATAATATAATAAGCTTTTTTAATACTCAAAAGGGTTCTTGTAAATACTGCCAACCCATAATTTGCTACATGTAAGATGGCACTTTTATATTGTTGGTTGTAAGCTACATTCCACTTCTTATTTCAGTAATGAGTAAAGTTAGTTTTACAAAGTCACTCTGAACAAACATACCTATGTGGTAGAGATGCTTTGATCTGATCGGCGCCGATCCATATCGGCCGATATTGCCATTATCGGTTTTGATCGGCGTTCTCAAAACGGCCGATCAAATTTGGCCGATCAGATGACATAAAATCTGCGAGAACTACTATCAGAGACGTTTCAATAAAACGTTAGAGATAGGCATTTCAGGCCGCCAATGGTAAGAAATTATTATTATTTTTTTTTTTTTTTGAAAAGCTTGTGATTGGCTGTCTCTCCATGTTATTACATTTCATTGGCCCCCGTCTTCGGTGGCGGGTGGGTGAAACCACGGAGACAAAACGGCTTCGCCGGTCTGGCAATATTACAAGGTGTCGAAAAAAGATAATAAATGTGCAGTTTGCAACGTCTGCTCAAAAGTAGTTCCCCGTGGAGGAACGCGTCAAAGGGGTTTCAACACCACGAACCTACGGCATTTGAAAGCTTGTCACATCAAGGAATTTGAGGAGTTTACGAAGTTGGCGAGCGATAAGGCAGATAAAGACAAAGAGCGTGCAACCGCTTCCCAAACGCCACTCACTCAGCTGACCGTAACAGAGACATTGAAACGACAGCAACCATAGAGCATTGACAACAAGAGACGAAAGGAATTAAATGCAAAGGTAATGGAATTCATATGATTGATCAGCAGCCGCTGTCTGCTGTGGAAGACGCCGGGTTCAAACGCCTTGTATCCTGCTTGGATCCACGCTATACGCTGCCGGGCCGAAAATACCTAACTGATGTTTGTCTGCCGGAATTATACCGAAATGTCTACACGCACATCGAGAGCCTTATGAAGGACAACATCAGGGCAGTTAGCTTCACGAGTGACATTTGGAGTTCGAGTGTCTGTCCTGTGTCTATGCTGAGCCTAACTGCGCAGTTTATTAATGAACACTTCGAGCTGACCAAAGTGGTGCTTCACTCACAAGAGTTTCCCGGATCGCAACACCGCGGAGGCACTTGCTGCAGCTTATATTTATCAAGGCAAATCTGCCAGTGATGCTGCTTAATCAGAAGTAAGGTTTGAATACTCTAGTATGCCCCCTCTCCGAGTGAGTTGAGTGAGTGAAGTATGTGAGTGAGTGAGACACTATACAGATAGATATACATGTTTTGTTTAATTGCTGACTTCCTGTGCACCTTTAATCTTTATTCTGTCTGTTATCTCCTCCTATAAGCTCCAAGTTCTATTGAGAGCCTCTAGAGAGTGGAATGTTGCACATGTTATTCTATTGTTGTGATTTTCATTTAAAGATTTATATTTTTATTATTGTTTTAATATTTATTATTATTGACACATTTTATAGTAAGCGAGAGAGCTTTTCTACATTGGAATGTTGCACGTTCCCTGCAATAAAACGGATGGTTGTCAATTCATGATACTCTCTCGTCTCGTAATTTAAATACTTAAAATACGTAATTTAAATACTTAAATTACGAGACACCGTGATCGGTGATCGGTATTATCGGATCGGCAGATACCGCTCTCACTCGGGTGCGTTAGCGCTTTCTCGCCGGTGTGTCACGCAGAAACACTGTGGCGCCTTTAAACCGGTCGGATTGCATCTTGGATAAACGACGCGATAAACAACCTATAGGCTGGAAACCTTGAGGGCACAAGGCGAAACCCCAGTGTGTGTGTGTGTGTGTGTGTGTGTGTGTGTGTGTGTGTGTGTGTGTGTGTGTGTGTGTGTGTGTGTGTGTGTGTGTGTGTGTTGTGAAACGAAAGTAAAATAGTTTGGTTTCCACACGCTACGTGCGTGTGCGTGCGTGCGTGCGTGTACGCGTGTTACGCGCGCCGGCGCCGCCCACAGCCTCCCTCCTCCGTGACGTAGCAGGCACTATGTCGCAAACAAGTCCTCAGTTGTAGCAATGGCAGCGTTGAGGCAGGAGCATCGCTATGGGCTCTCCTGTGGCCAGATCAACAAAAACAACCCGAATCAAACTCTTTTTCACGTCAAGCTCACGGACACTGCCATCCGGACCCTGGAAGCCTACCAGAACCTCAAGGTAGGAACACGTTATCGTGTTGAACTTTGGAGCTTGTGTGGTTTTTTTCCATTTTTTTTTCAGCTGTATTTTCATTTTCTTGAATCGCCTCACAACTCGAAATCTTCCCTTTTTGATTTAAAAAAAGAAGAAGTAAAGTTTAAATAGGGCAGATCACGTCGACAGAAGCGTCGGTGGTTGATTGAGGATTGGGGGTTTTATACAGCGGCTAGAGAAGATGTATTATTTATGAACATATATATTAAAAAAATCCATTATGCTTTAATGAATGATTTCGTTAACCCGCCCGCTCTGTAAGACCTGGATAAAATGTGTTTTGGGCGGAAAAGGAGAGGCTCAGGCTATTTTCAATTATGCGTGTCTACTTGTTTTTTCCAATCGTAATCTCCCGAAAAAACAAACGGAATGAAAGTTCCCATATGAGAGATTAACAAGTATTGCCCTGAGCTTTAGCAGCTTGTTGTTTTCATCTGATTTTCCACACATACATTGCATCTGAAATGCATTGTCTTAGAGCACGGGCGACTACAGATGATCGTCAGTCATTTTTTTTTTTTTTTTTAATAATCAGCTTGTTTTGCTCACGTGAATCAATCAATGAAAAAGCTGTCAAGCTTTTAATCAGACAGTTTTGTCACTGCGACGATTCATTACGTTAGATCAAGACAATTCAAGGTTGGTTTCTCCAAATTGTCCTTCCCAGAGGTTTGATAAATCACATAAGCCCCACATCATGACTGCAGCTAGAGATCCATATGTGTTTTGTTTCTTCTAGTTTTTATTTGCATTTATAATAAGTGTCGCCACGGGGCAGAAAGGACCTGGATATGATACGGTAAAGTCCACATCGGGCTCGGTGGCAAAGCTCGACAAGTTGTCGCTGTGTTCTTGTGTATTATTGTTGTTCGCCCTTTACACGCCCTGGGAGCCCGCCCCTCTCCGCAGCTCATTGGTCCGCGAGGCGGAGTGAACTCCGGGGCTCGCGCAGCCTGACAGCTTCCTCCAGGCACGAGAGGCTGCTGCAAAACTTTTTCCCAAGTCAAAGACCATCGCACAAAATATTGTTGTGGCCTGCCGGACCCCCCACTGAGACTTTGTCCTCAGGAACCTCTCAGGCTGAAATACGTTGCTTTATTAGATGGAATTTATTCCTAAAAGGATTTTATACTTTAAATGAAAGAGCCTTTATAGCAAAGTAAGGTTGCAACTAACGATGCACTATATTTCTCAGGTTATGGGGGGAATTGTTGGTCGATGAAATTACAGAAAAAGCGCGAGTCGTACCTTCATAAAAGTTGTATAGATTGATTGGCTTTAATATTACAAGTCAGAACCAGTAAAACTTCTACCCTTTGCTAAAAAATGACTTTAATAATCAAGAGATTATCAAGCAGTTGATTCATTTTCTATTAATCCTGTGATTCCTTAACCTCTACTACTATCTAATGAGACAGTCTTACAGTTATTGAAAGGGTTGGCATTCTGCACAACTTTTGGGTTACCAGGTTGTAAAATATCCCATGTTTCAATTTTAGTGAACAGCATTAAAATTCCATACTGTTAAAGAATTTTAACACGTATCACTCCTTAATATGTTTTGTCAGTTATGAATAAGATGTATAAAGGGTACAACCTGAAAACCCAAAAATTGACATTCGTATTAATGCACATTACTAATACATAATCTATAACTGATATCTATAAATCTGTTACACAACATTTATAAAAGGGACTTTAATAAAAAATGGTAACAATTAATTGTCATATTTTTTCAGCTCCAGTGAACACTCAAATGGTGACATAAAAAGCAGGCTTCTTACTTATGATAAACCCCATGAGTGTGTTGCTAATATATATTACTCCATTCAATATTCAAACCATGGAACGATGAAGAAAATCAGAACAGTTTTCTTCGATGGGGAAGACATTTCCCCAAACAATTAATAATAAATCAGGAGCGCTGTCTATCACGTGCATAGCTGTACTTCACAGATAAATGTCTCCATCTATTAACTATGCATCATGTTGCCCTGAAGGCATGCTATATTTTATGATATCAATATTTATTTATCAGTTAGGTAGAAGAACAATGTTGTTTTCTAATGCGTAACACTGTGTTCTTGGTGGCACTACAGTTGTAAACCACAGCACAGGGCTTGTAAAAAGTTCACTAAAATAAATTCAGGGCCTTTTTATTCAGGGCCCTTGGCTTTCCAATTGGATTGTTTTTAGCTTTTATGGACTTGTTCTTTTAGAGGGAAAATCACCTGAAACCCACAAACATGCAGTGTTAAATTGACTGACACAACCTGAGTGGTCTGTATAGGCTATGAAATTATTAATCGCACACTTTCCTCTGAATATTATGGCCAGAAAGCCCTCAACTGTAGACTGAATGACATTAAAAAAATAATAATACAGCGATTCATCAGGGAGAAACCTGATACGAGCCGGCGATTATGGCAACGTTTTTTGGCAAGACTTTACCCATCCTATTGAGAGACCCACTGAGCGGAGCTATAGAACAATGGCAATATATTTTTACTGCTAATGTGTGAGCTGTCCATTAGACTAGACATGATTCCTGAATCAGTTACCATTCTCTACTTTCTCTCTCTCTCTCTCTCTCTCTCTCTCTCTCTCTCTCTCTCTCTCTTCAGGCATCACTATCAAATCAGCCAGCGATTTGCTTCAAGGGGAGCCAGGGGGTAAGATGTTTTACATATTCTCCTAAATGCCTGAGAATGTGAACTCTCTAAATGGTTCTGATTTTCTGTGGAGCGTACTTGTGACAGTTCCTTCGCACATCTTCGCATTTGATAAGCGCATGAAAGCATCTACGAGGAAGTTGAAAATCCACAAACTATGATTTATTTGGTTTGATATTGTTGCCTTTAACGGTTTTCTTCCTTAAAAGAATATGAAACATCCACATCATGACGCACCTGAAGGAAAGGTGTCACAGCTGTACAGTGCTGTGTTAAATAGCCTGGACATACAGAGACAAAGTGCACAAAGTACACAAAAATACATGGCACTGAAACCCTGAGGGCATTCCTGTAGATCAGGGGTGCTCACACTTTTTCAGCATGGGAGCTACTTTTGAAATGACCAAGTCAAAATGATCTACCCATTATATTTATTGAGAAATATATTGAGGATTCTTACAACTTATGTTGATGTATAACCACATATGTTGCACAACACAACATAATTCAGAACTGAACAGACTGAACAACATAATTATGTACATGTTTTGCCATCACCTGAGCTTACTCTGATGACTGAATTTCGTATTTTCCATGAAGAGTCCGAAAATGCCGCTCCACATTTCCCTTCTTTGGTATTGCGACGGTAGACTGGCAGACGAGACAAACGCACTTTGAAAATGTCATCGTGAAAAAAAAGTCCTCCTCCCATTCCGTATGAAAGTGATAGGTTTTTTTCTTTTTACTTGGTCCAGCTCCCCCACTCATTTTTATACCCTATCTTACGTTTAAGAGGAAAAAATCGAGCGAAAAATTAGGATGTAACTAACGACTAGCTTGTTAGCTTTGCAGCGCTCAGGGGCGTTGTTTGAACACGCACAGTGACCTAATTGTACGGGGAAAAAAATCAGATGTCATCTGACTGGTCGTCCTGTGTATCAATCAAGTGACGGGATGGCTGATAGGCTGACGTCTAGTTTTTTTATTCAAAACAACTCAACTTTATTTGTATAGCGTCTGTTCATGACAATGTCACCTCACCTTGTCATGCGATCTACCAATAGTACCTTGGAGATCGACTGGTAGATCGCCATCGACGTATTGAGCACCCCTGCTGTAGAGTGTCCGTCAAGAAGAGGGATGCCTGCGTCCGGCCAGGTTGTCCGGGCCACTATTACACCCTGACTCTGCCTGCTGGGCGGCTCCGCATTTACCACAAAACATGCCCGTCTAAAAAGAGCCGTCCGAATCCCCGCAAGAGCCGATTGCGTCGACGAAAGTGACTGCACTGTACACAAACGCCGGCCCTGTGCGCTCACACGGGACCCTGGAAGCCCGAAGACAGGGTACGCTTTACCCCCAGGCTGCCAGCCAGGTTACTGGGTCAGGACTGCAACTGGGGAGGCTTTGTTCAGGAAAGGGGGAGGAGGTACAAGGGGGTTGGCGAACCCCAGGGAGCCCCCACATCTCTATGCAGACATGAAAGATTTGAAATACGGGAATGATACATGAGCGGTGGAATTTTTTTTTGCTTGGCAGGAAGGCTAAATGTGTCCAAAACACAAATAATGTAAGCGTGTAATGAAACATCTGTAAAACGAGCAGCAGATTCACCTGCTTATGAGAGGTTTCCTGTGAAGAAACGTTAAGTGAGTGCAATTTTAAGTGTTCTTTAATCACTGAATAGGATTTGGTGATTATATCACGTTTGGCACATTACATATTCAAATTGTTTTGGGGAATTCAAGCACAAACTCCCTCCCCCTCTGACAATGGTCCCCGATCTGTACGATTGGGCATTAATGAGGTAGCTGCAACCATCGGTAGTGGGGGAGGCCGGATTAAGCCGTTAGTGAGGGGAGGTTGTTGGTGGTGTTGGCAGTCTGGCACAAAACGGAACGAGGAGATAACCAGTTTGTGTGTGTGTGTGTGTCTCCATTTTGGAGGCGTACGGCGCCACAGATGCAGCCAGTCGACGTGGCTAGTTTTTCTCCCCCAAAAGCAGGCAAGCAAGCACAGGCGTCGGGAGGTCACGCGTGCCGGCGGGGAGGGGTTCGTATCAGTCGCCAGCCATAGAGCTCCATCACAGAAGCCACGACTGCCTCTCTCTGATCTTTGTCCTCGCTCATGACACATTTACTGTCAGCAGGACACTTTCAGGGCTGCAAGAAAAAACTAAAACGGAGGAATTTTTTAGATCACTGTTCTGGCACCGCTCCAGGGCTCAGCGGTATCAGGGGCCAGGGCTCCTATCGAGAAAGAGCACGCCGAGGCTTTTTTTCGGCTGCCTTTCACTCCGACCCTGTGATATTTAGCCCCGACTGTTTTAAATGGTTCGCCGAGCTGATTATCGTATGATGAAAGACACAAGCTCACAGAAGCTTCTAAAGCATGTGCAAGTCAAGTTTAAAAACTACAATCTAAGAAATTCTGCTTTTGAATTTTTTACAGGCATAAAGAGATTCAAAACTGAAACCTATTGCAGGAAAGTCAACCAAATAGGGGTGATCAATAACTAGCGTTTGGCGAAGTGAAATATATATTATTAAAAGTGTGTCAAAGAATTTCCCCTCATAGTGCTGATTTTCTTTTAGTACTTGCAACACTAAGAAATCACGTTGATTTTAGTTACATATCACATACAGATGTTCTATCCAATGCCATAGTTTTATATTGCTTTTTCTTGATGTTTCTATTCAAACATCTGCATGGGTTAGTGAGCATCTCACCTGTTACACTGCAAAGTTGTGCCTTTGAATTACTCATTATCCCTCTGTGCCACTGAACATAACTTTTCAGGAAACATTTATTGCCATAATATCATTACATTTATTGCCATAATATTACGGCAATAAATTACATATGTCAGACATACAAGGAATTTGACATGGCGGTTCGTGCGTAACAGCAGACAGTACGACAATGGACGACAAGACATTTTATAGGAGCAAAGCTGTTGGGGTAAACATGAATATTACATTTTGCTATGCTGTGTCAGGTGTGAAAGCCGTTTAATTTCCTCCTCAGTCCATAAATGTTGAACTGCAGTTGCCAGCGCAATTGTTTTTGTTTTATGGCCCTGTCCGTATTAATGCGCGCAGCTGTCGCGTGAAGGCGGCGGTGTCGGGACGAGGGGGAGAGTAGAGGTGCTCTTAAAGATATTCTCATGGTGACCGTGTGTGTGTGAAGGCTGAGCGTCCCCTGGGCCGCCTCCCGCCGGCCTTCTTGATTATTTTGCCATTTCACCCCATGTCTTGGCTGAATCCTTGCAAGACTTCAGGGCCTCTATCTCACACACGGCTGCTCCGACTCTACCCCCCGCCACCTCACCAATTTACTCCACCCCCCCGCTCGCTCTGCAAATAAGCTTTTCCAATGTGCGTGTGTGTGTGTATATGTGTGGGTGCGTGCATGCATGCACACATCTTTTTTTTTTTTCCTCATTTTTCTCTTTCCTGGAAGCTAATTAGAATAACAATAACAGGAATGTGGTTCGAGAGCCGTCTTCTCCCAGTGGCATAGCAGTAAGAGGGAGAGTTGTCCCACGTGTTTCTGAAAGGGCACACGGCGCTCTATTCAACCAGATATGTTAAGCGAGGCAAAAGTCTCTGTGTTCTCTGCTCGTCTGAGGCAGACTTTGTTTATGCAGAGTTATTTGGCTTTTCAGATCGTACAGTGTATTTTAGGAGTAAACTTCATGAGATCCTTTGGTTGAAGAGGAATTTTCTTTACTTAGCCCCTCTGTCATTATTGTGCTTTTTTCAAAGGATGCCAATGTGATTGTGGAAGGTTTGGGTGGAGTATTTTATAGTTTAAGATTGGAAGTAAATGGCACAAATAAATGTGTGATCAGGAATCAGGAAACATTTATTTGCCAAAATATGTCAAACATACAAGGAATTTGTCTTGGTGGTTAGTGCGTGACAGTGGACAGACAAGACAACAGTGCACAAGTAATAAAATAAAGTGGAATTAAATGCTAATGCAATGGGTTAGTAGAAGAAGGCTATGGGTTAGTATAAAACAAGGGAATAAAGTTAAAAAAATTTAAATATTAAAAAGTTAAAAAGAAAAATATTAAGCATAAAGTGCACTAACGAACAAGTAACAGACAAGAGACAAAGTGACGAGTGACGACAAAGTAATCAATTGCAGTTAAAGTGGCATGTGCAGTATGAGGGGGAGTGACCGGTGGAATGTCAGTCAGTCAGTGGGGGACCGGCTCTGTTGATGAGCCCGACTGCCGACGGGAAGAAACTGTTAGTGTGGCGGGAGGTCTTAGTCCTGATGGACCTCAGCCTCCTGCCAGATGGAAGGGGTACAAACAGTTTTTGTCCAGGGTGGGAGGGGTCGGCTACCATCTTTTAGCTGCTTCAGAGACCTGGAAGCGAACAAGTCCTGCAGGGACGGCAGATTGCAGCCGATCAGCCTCTCTGCAGAGCGGATGACACGCTGCAGCCTGCCCTTGTCCTTGGCTGTGGCTGCAGCGTACCAGACGCTGATGGAGGAGCAGAGGATGGACTCCATGATGGCCGTGTAGAAGTGGACCATCATCGTCTTTGGCAGGTTGAATTTCTTCAGCTGCCTCAGGAAGAACAACCTCTGCTGAGCCTTCTTGGTGATGGAGCTGATGTTCAGCTCCCACTTGAGGTCCTGGGTGACGATGGAGCCCAGGAAACGGCAGGAATCCACAATAGTGACGGGGGAGTCACACAGGGTGATGGGGGAGGGTGGGGCTCTGTTCCTCCTGAAGTCCACAACCATCTCCACTGTCTTTAGAGCGTTGAGCTCCAGGTTGTTCTGACTGCACCACGACACCAGATGGTCAGACCCCCACCTGTAGGCGGACTCGTCCCCACCAGAGATTAGAGATAAAAAACACTAAGTGCAAAAAGAAAAAAAACACGCAGTTGTGTGTTGTTGTTGTGGCTTTGTGTTGCTTGTTTACATTCTGTGCTAATCCGGAAACATTAAGACGAAAGAGGGAACCGTCAGCTAGG